ACCAAACTTATAGGAGTATTAGACCTTGAGAAGTAGACAAAACCATTTGGGTTAAAAGCGTTAGTCGTCACTTCCGGTTGTCACAGGAAGTGATCAAAGAAATCAAAAATTTCAACTTTTCTCTTTTGGAATAAGACTTGCATCATATAATTGTATCTTTTTCACAGTTACGATATGTGTTGGTCCCACCGGAAACAAAAAACGACAACTTCCGGTTATAAGAGAAAAACTACATAGTAGGGTATTTAATTTTCCGATACATATCGCCTATAGATAGAGTTCTTTAAATGATTTTTATATATGTTATTGAGACTGCAGATGTCTAGAGTGATGTGAAATATTTTAGTAAAATTCACTTCCGGTCGCGTGTTTTCTTGTCCTCAAAATGAAAAGTTATTTCAGCGAGATCTCGGAAACGGCATGAAAGTAAGACACCAAACTTATAGGAGTAATACAACTTGGTGAGAAGGCAAACCACATAGGGTTAAAAGCGTCAGTCGTCACTTCCGGTGATCACAGGAAGTGATCGAAGAAAACAAAAATTTCAACTTTTCTTTTTTAAAACTAAAACTTTCATCACTTTATTGCTTCCCTTTCGCTGTTTTGAAATATGTTAGATTCCACCGGGAAAAAAAACTTTAAACTTCCGGTTTTAAGAGATAAACTACGTTATTTCGTGGTTTAACTTTCTCATAAATATCACTTATAGATAAGTATTTGAAATGTTTTTTACATATGCTGTAGATACTGCAAAAGTCAAGAGAAAATTTTTATTCACTTCACTTCCGGTCGCGTGTTTTCCTGTCTTCAAAATTAGAATTTGTTCTCACAATTGTTCGGCAACAGTAAAAGACTGAAGTCTAAAACTTTGAGGACTTATAGTCAGTCATCAGTTCATTTGCTTCGTGTAAAAATCGTGTGTCGTCATTACTTCCGATCGTGACAGGAAACGAAGCAAAAAAGTATTTTTTAACTTATTTTGTTTTTACATAAGTTTTAGGCTAATACCGACGTTGGAAAAGACATGTTCATGCAAACAGGAAGTAGTATAACGGAAGACCTTCTCATTACTAGTAATGAGTTTCTAGTTATTATTATTATTTTTTTGACTTTCTAATTTTGTGCACGCGATTTCTCGAAGACTATTCAACGGATTTACATGAAATTTTCAGGAAAGATGTGTCGTAACATGAACTTGATCTATCTGAGAGAAAATTTGGAAATTCACTTCCGGTGCCAAGTTATGGACCATTTTCTGAATTTAAAGTGACATTTTGTCCGCGGATTATCTCAAGAACGGTAAAAGATATCAATGTGAAACTTTCAGGGATTATAGATCGTGATAAATACTAGCCGGGACGTGACCTTTTGTTCGTCGTCAGTACTTCCGGTTATTACCAGATGCAAATTAAAAAATTTGAATTTTTAAACTTTTTTGATTTTCAACATTTTTCTTTGATCATAGTAGTATTAATAGAAACTCTTCTGAAAATGCTTAATATATAATTTGTTTTCAAATAGATAAATTCGAACTCTAGATATTTGCATTTTAAAATTTGAAGCGGGTCCAAAATGGCGGCTGTCACCGTACACTCCGACGAGCAAGTCGGCACTCGGAGCTCCTCGGGTGGCTCGTACCTCGCACACTAACCTCGGACATCAACTGTGTTCTATCATGTTGCTGATACAGTCATGTGATCTTATTTGAAATTCCTCCAAATGTATATCTTTGAAAACTAAGCTACTTTGTGGCACGCCCAACATTATGTTTTTGCTTTCAAAGACTACTTACATGATGTTGTAATCAAAACAAATATAAAAGGAAAAATTAGAAAAGAAAAAAAAACTTTTTGAAGAACTTTATGCAGAGCGAAATATGAAATGAGTTCGCAGCTATGTTAAGGCTGTCCGAAGGCTTTATATGCATTAGATATATACTATTTTATTTTGAGCTATATTTTGTTTTCAATTTGTAATCTATGTATACATACACAGTTAAGTTGTAAAGAGAGTTGAATAAGGTATTATAAAAAAGCATTTCTGTGATGTCACATGACTGTGTTGATCACGTGACGGACACTTATAAATCTTCTTAAATATTGCACAAAAATCGCATCGGCACAAGTGAAAAACAAAATTATTGTGAACGGCTTGTTACATAAATCAATTAAACGTATTCTTAGGTATATATAAAGTGCTGGGGGCAAGTCTGAATTTTATTTCCTAAGAAAATATTTCACGAGAAATTCAACTTACCCATATACAAGGGGTCATTTTCCACTCTTCATCGCAATTTATACAAAATAGGATAAATTACATACAATCCCCCAGCAAAATTCAGTTAGAGGACATATCTCTCTAGTAGATTCACACAGAATATCTTCAATTAATCCTTATTATTCACTTGTGCCAGTCTAATATATACACGATTTATAAATTCTCACTCTGTCTACAAACGCGTAAGGGGGAGCGTTTCGCATTCTTTTTTGTAATATTGTTTGAATACGTACATGTTAGACAAGAAAAAGGAAAAACGATATTATACTGCAAATGTTCACCATCATAACAGCCTTAAAACAACAATCAAGACAAATGAATTAAACATCAACATAAAAAAAAATCTACATGTGATGTGAAAGGAATGTAAAAGTTATGACACTTTCCCCGTCATGCCTGCTCAAGTATGCAGTGACTTGACGTCATATGCCATCATGACTTCATCTCTAGCTAGTTCAGAGATGTTACTGCGGTTGGTACACTGTGACATTCTTCGGACAGCCTTATCCTAGCTGCATTACAAGGCAGTTTTCTGCGGAGAAATGTGATCGATTTGATACATATTCCTCCACCAATCACATGCGAGGTTTGTATGGAGGTAGCGGAGTCAGCCGAGGATTGCCGATTAGCAGGTCGGAGTATACGGAGACAGCCGAGCGTCTTGTTGAACAAAACTACCATAAGGATCAATGAAATATGAAGGAATTGTTGGATCTAGCAGATTTTGGAAATGGATAATCTGTCTTTGAAAACATAAATACTCTGACCTCCAAATACAATTAAATATGTACTTTGTACGGTACATACCATGACATATCTGAGAATCGAAACCATTCAATAGAACATACATTTCAAAGAAAAGGCGCGAAGATTTACTCGCGACGTTTGGCGCGAAATAATGTATCGTGATAAAAAAATGTTCTGATGCGGAAGTGCAGAAAAAGATTACGTGGACACGTCTGTATGAAATACATGTATATGGAATTGCTTGGAATGAAAATTTAAATAGAGAAGGGATAAAGGAAGTAAACAGTATCATCAGTTCATCAGTAATGGATTATTTCTTCTGCTAACAGTTATTGTTTAAACTCAGCAACGAATTCCGATGTGAATCTGCTTCCACAAAATTTGGCTAGCTAGCACTCATTCTATAATTCCGCAGTATATATATATATATATATATATATAAAACTTTAAACCTCCCTGACGCTCGTTACTTCATGCAACGATACAAAGTAAACATCGATGATGGCTGGTAAAATTAATCTGGTGTAGTGGTTTCCATATTGAATTTTCACGTATGCGATCTGGGTTTAATACCGATTATGTCTGAATTTCCTTTCTCAATTTTTAGCTTAAATTTACGTCTTCATCTTTATAAATGATGTTTGTTTTTTTTTCTGTGTGAATTCTGTTGAAATAATTCTTTAAAATCCTTGCAATTTTGAAAGACCCATGATATATTTTTTGGCTTCTTTACTATGAGCATATATGTAATTTTACATACAAAGAAAATCACATGTAAGGATGGTTATCGGACGGAAGACCTCTCATTGCTTGCAATGAGTTTCTAGTTATTATTATTATTCTTTTTTTCTACTTTCTTCTCCGGTACTTTTTTGTCCGCGAGTGTTCTCATAGAACCACTCATCCGATTGACATGAAACCTTTTAAGGGTTAATAGGCATGTTGTGTAGGTGTTCGGAATGAAGGTCATTTTGCGCGCACATGCATGCACGTGCGCGCGCGTGCAATGAGTGAAGTGACTAATATACTTGATGAAGCCACAACTTTTATATTTCTTGATGAATTGCTTTGAAACTCAAAATATAAAGATATATTAGTAGTCTAGACAAGATAACATGGTCAAATTAGCATGAACTCATGCGCATGCACGTGCGGTCTTCTCTGATTGGCTGATACAAAAATTTCAAAAATTTCCTTGTTTTTTGACAAAATACTTTGAAATTTAGAATATAAGTATACATTATAAGGTGCTACAACATGTTATATAGGAAATTTCTTGAAAACACGCGCATGCAGGTGTGCTGCAATCTGATTGGCTGAAACTTTAAATGTCTATAACTCCCTTGGTTTTCAACAAAACAGGATGAAATTTACGACATAGATAGGCACATAGAGCTCCTACATTATGATACTATCAAAAGTGAATGCAAGACCATGCATGCGCGTATGCTGAATTCTGATTGGCTAATACTTAAAGGGTTACATCTCTCTTATTTTTCAATGAAATTCTTTGATATTTAACGCAAATGTATGTATTGTGAGACACTATAAGAAAATTAATGTAAAAAATGTAGAAAACGTGCGAGCACATGCGCTGAAATTTGATTGGCTAATACCCATATGGCTATATCGGAGTAGTTTTCCAATGAAATACCCTTAAAAATAAAGTGTCCATCTATATTACAAAAGTATTTATTGAAGCTTGTAGGGAATGGGGCATCATAAGGGATTGGGGAGCCGTTTGGGGAACATCTGTAACGGTTCCCGTTACAATTAGCACTAGTTCTTTATTGTCTTTAGTGACACAATCCAGTAGTATGCTTTTCCTTGATGCTTAACTCCATTGATAGATATATCTTAATTGTTAAATTGACAGCTTTTTTTTTTTACAATGATCTCTTAGGTAGAAATAGATATTTTGAACTGAGCTTTTACACTGTACTGCATTTAATCTGAGACATACTGAAATTTTCCAGGAAGCTCCAGATTATTTAGGAATGAACATATTGCTCCGCCCAATATCTAACTCTTCACAAATGCCACGGCCATTCGGAGCGATCTTCCTGATCAGTAACCCTGACTATCTGTACACGGGAGAGTATTTCTGTCAGTATCAAGACAGTGTGATATATACCAGCAAATACATCTATGTTAGAGGTGAGTCATTTTATCAATCATGTTGGTGAATGACAGAATTGTTTAGTTCTGTCATTAAAGCTTTTTGTATAGCATGTCTTATGTCTGTTACAATACTCATGCACCTGTTTATACAAATTGTAAATGGTTTATTAATTTTTATTACTAAGAGACATTAGAAGCTCATAATCACAAACTATTTAGTTCATGAACTGAACTTATATATTATTTAGCCTGATTCAAGTTTTAAGATCATATTCACAAAGGGGGTTGCCAGAGACTAGAAGAGGTTATGCACTGGTAATGCGTCTCCCTTAAAGTGGAATTGTATAGCAATATATAATTACTGTAAATTTTCTGATTATAATGAGTTTAAGCTTCTAAATTCCTTAAAGCAATATGAGCTGCATTTTTGAGAATTTTATTTTGCTGTTATAATGTGTTATTATGATAAATTTGTATGCAATTTAAACATTTTTGATCAATTAGCAGAAATAAAGTATCAAATTTTTTCAGAATATAGGATTCTGTATAATCAAATATATAGTATTATATAAGAAATCAATATTGTACAGGACGACAATAATGTAATTTTGCTTAAATCAAAGCTTATAAATACTTCATCCATCGCAAATATGAACAACAGAAGTTTATAAACGTTCTTTTTTCTGTCATTGAAATAGTTAATTACAATTTTGCAACAAAAATTTCTGACATCAAAGATGCAGCTCATATTGCTTTAAGTTTCCTACCAGTTCTAAAAAGTGACAGGCTGTTGACAAATAGATGTTGCAAGAGCTTATATATACACATTCTAAATTGCTTTGAAATTCAAATATCATTTTTTACAGATGATGAGAATTTATTCTTAATGGAAAGCAAGCCCTATCCACATATGATTAATGCTTATCAATTTGTTCCCGTGGTACTACCGTGCAGTGTATCTGATCCTGAAGCAGAGGTCAAACTGGTGCGAGCTGGAAGGGTAGAAGTTCGTTTGGAGGAACATGGCATCATATATGACCCCCAAAAAGGATTTTTAATAGAGTTTCCAAGTTGGAAGTTGGCTGGAATGTTTTCTTGTAAAGCCACCAAGAAACAGATGACAGATAGTCTCCATTTTTACGTAACTTACACAGGTAACTTACAAACTCCCTTCAGAAAAAAGGTTCTTAATTCATTTTGCAATTTTACACATGTAAATAACAGTTCACCTGAGTCACCTTAGTCCTGCTAATCTGAAGGGGATTTATAAAGACTTTTCTCTTTATATTGAAAGAAAACACTTGGAAAATGAGGTCAGAAAAGACAAGAACTGGACACAAGGACCCTCATGTAGTGTAGATTTAATTTTAGTTATGACCCTGAGGTCTTTGTCTGAGGTCTAGGGTGGAACTGCAACAGGTGGTTAGAGTTAAATTCTGTCATTTAAGGAATAACTGTCTAAATTTTTGATTTCATGATGTGATCAATCGATTGGCTTGCGTGATAATTTGCATAAACGCCGAAGGCGTTTATGCATAACATTATCACGCAAACCAATCGATTGATCATCGTCATGAAACCAAAAAATCTGACAGTTATTCCTTATATTTACATGCTCTTGATTCTGCAAGTCACGTGCTACAAGCCCCTCTTCTGTCTCTATTTGTTCCGCCCCGCACGTGATTTTTTTTTCACCATGCCTTTCGATGAACCAGTAGATTTGTTTAGAAATAAAGTATTTTTACTATTTGAAATTTTATCTCGGACAAAGATTGGAAATGTTAATATTTAAGGATAAATAACAAAAACAAATTTTTTCTAATGAAATTCAAAAATCTTTGCTTAGGTAGGTGCCTCTCTGTTTAACTAAACAACTTTATGTTTGACCAAACCACATTATTTGGTGAAAAGTGGGAAAATGTAACTTTACACTTCAATGCAACTTTTTAAAGGTTTTTTTGGTACTGTAAAACTGGAAAAATTTTCAAGAGCCTCTTCTTAGCTCTACTGGTCAGAGACCAGAAGAGCTTATGCCATAGTAAGGTGTCTGTCATCTGTAAACAATTTTTCAAAATTCTACTCCTCATACAGTTTTAGTCTGATTCCAGTATAACTTGCACACAAGTAGACTACACTAAAATACATAATTCTTTATATTTGTTTTTGATTTTAATAAATGATGTTGCCATGGTTTCTAGAAATAGAAATTTCTGTGAAATACATTCAAAACACTATTCCTCCTATAGTTTTGGACTGATTTCAATACACTTTGGCACACAAGTAGACTATACTCAGATACAAAATTCTATGTATCAATTTTTTTTATTTTGATGAATGATGTTGCCATGATTACTAGAAATAGAAATTTCTGTGAAATACTTTCAAAACACTACTCCTTGTACAGTTATTATCTGATTTCAATATAACTAGGCACACAAATACATTACACTGAGAGGCATAAATATCTTTAACCTTTTTTGAGTTTGATGAACATTGTTAATGGTTACTAAAAATAGAAATGTCTGTAAAATTCTTTCAAAAGACTACTCCTGCAGTTTTAGTCTGATTGCAATAATCTTGCCACAAAAAGAGACTAAACCAAGGATCATTATTCTATTTTTTTATGTTGCAAAGCTTCAAGTCACAAGTGCTACTTTTCTCTTCCTTTAATTGTTATAAGTACAAACAAGAAGAGCTACAGTCTCGTCAGAGACTTCTGGTTACATTTTACACTGCTTAAATTTCCTAATTACATTTTTATTGAAAAAAAAATATTAAAAAAATAGCAAAGTAACTTTTTGGTGTGGAAAATAAAAAAAATTGTTTTTGGTATGTATTTTTAACAAAAGGAGACATTATTATACCCTGCATTTTTCTCATAGTTCTCATACAACTGTGTCTAGAGTTCATGCATATCCTTTTAGACCACAGGAATCATTGGAATGACCTTTTGCTATCTGTTCCCAATGAGATGGTTCACCGCGATGACCTTTTGCTTTCTGCTCCGGCTGAAGTGGGTCATTTAGGTTACTGCTTGCTATCTGTTCCCACTGAAATGGGTCACTGAGATGACCTTTAGCTATCTGTTACAATTGAAATGAGTCATTGAGGTGACCTTGCCTTCTGTTCCCATTGAAATGGGTCACTGATGTGACCCTTTGTTATATGTTCCCATTTTCTACAGTGTAGTGTCAGTTGAACATTTTGTACTTTTAAATGGGCAAAAAAGGGCAAGTTTCACCAAGGACCATATTTATAATTTTTTTAAGCTTTGGGGGATGATTTATGCATTTTCCTCCTCTGGTTCATCAGAATGTTATGTTCTACCACTTCAGTTGACCTTGAAATTTATTTAGTTTAGTGAAAATATACCTGATCACAAGGCCATACACTGAGAACACAATCAGAATATAGATATTACATATCTTGATTATTTTAAAATCCATTTAAGGTCTATGTACTTGGTGCAGTGTCTTCAATGGAGTTCATAAATGCTTCCATATAACTCATAAGAAAGTTTTTAGCTTACCTGAGCTGAAAGCTCAAGTGAGCTTTTCTGATCACTTGTTGTCTATCTGCCTGTCTGTCCATCCGTCTGTAAATTTTTCACATTTTCAACTTCTTCTCAAGAACCACTGGGCTAATTTTAACCAAAGTATGTACAAAGCATCCTTGGGTGAATACTGGTAATAAAAATAACTAGAAAGTCTGCTATTGCAAGCAATAGCGTATGTCGCCCTAAACTGGCTTTATTAGAAATGGTCTAAAAGTGTATTGTTCTGGGTTTTTATGACGTCGAGCTCTTGGAGCTCGAACGTCATCTAGCAAGCGCCCAGTTGAAATCGCGACCGGATATGTACGCGACCGAATGTGTCAGTCGATGCATCCGCAATAGAAAATAGCAATAGCTATAAACCAATTTCTTTGAAAACGCTCAAAATGAATAATAATTTGAAAATAAAATTGCATCAACTATATCTGCAATTAATTCTATTGCAAAACAACAATATTATGTTTTATTCTCACACAAGAAAAATGTGATGGTTGTTGCGGATGAATTTCTACAGAAAGGGTGCGTTGAATGACATGAATAACATTTCGGAACGATAACCGTGTAACATAAACAACACAACAGGAGGTAAAATAATTACAAAATTACATAAACACGAACACTACAAGACTAAAAAGATTGAATTTCTAAATCTTAGCTTTACTTATAAAATCTTCTAACCAACTCTATCCTAAAAGCCGATGATATTGACCAGTATTGCTGTATTTCTCCATTTCCTCCATTTCCCAGTATACCGTATACCACGCCCGATCGTAACTCGATCGTAATTGTTACAGAACAGTCTTGGTTGTAGTTTAGATGCAATCACTAATACAACGCTTTGACATTGGCAATTAGAAAAAATATTATATAAATTCATGAAATCCTTCATAGTTCTTCAACTGACTGAAAAGAATTTAGCATGAACATGTTCGACGGTGTCTGGTCAATTCGAACCCTGCTCCATTCGGACCATGACATAAGGCCCCAGACTGTAATTGTGATATTTTGTTTAAAACTTTTTTTTTATTATGTCTCCTGAGTCACTCACTTGACTTATTGTTATCTTCAAATTCAAAATGATCTTTTGAAATTGTTTTTCTTCTTCGACGTCATTGAAGCCTTTCAGGCTTTTGATTTTTGTTTTTGTTCTTAAAAAAGAAGCTTAAACACACGGTCCAATTGCGGGGATTGGACTACGGATTCTTGGATTGTGGAGGATTGCTTGTGCGGAGATAATAGTTTTGACAGACAGGATTGATGATTAATAAAAATATTGATCTCCTCAAAAACCTCTTTTTTTGTTTTATTTCTGATTGAGTGAACATGAATTAGCAGATTTAAAGTCTATCAGAGGTCGATTTGGGTTAAGAGAAATATTTGATGTTGTTATTCTGGGTGAGGCGCGCACACGTGTGTGTGTGTAGGGGGGGAGGGGCCTGGGTTAGTAAAAATGTTCAATAATTTTCTTGACTTTACATTTATTAGTTAACAGGATTTTATTTGAAAACTACATGTGAAAATAAAGCATTACTCAACCAATAAAAATTATTGGAGAAAAATGACACTTATCAAAAACATACTTCTTATTAGTTGTTTAGAAAAGGAAAAAGGAACGCCGGTTTACTAAATATATAACTGAATTTTTTTTTCTATAAACTTCGTACAATGGCATCAAGAATTTACCTCCTTCAGAGACTTATTTAGCATACGAATCACACTGTAACTTGACAACTCCTATTTAGTAATAAACATAACATGAATGATTTATAAGTTGATAAATAAAAAAATCAGAAATAAATGTATGTACAACGTTTTTGGACATTCGTACTAAGAACCTGCAAATATGTGTATTAAATCTGTAGGTAGACTTGTAGCTCTTTAAATCTCACAAAAATATATTCAATAACAAAAATGTTGGAGGAAAAAGTGGGAAAATTATTTTTTAAAAGAAACTTCTGATAGCGTACAATTGTCACATGACCGCGACTTTTCTTAAACCATTTGTTCCTTATCTGGCTTCAGCGACAAACTTTGAAAAAATAAAATATTGCATGCACAACTAGGGTTGGTGATTTTTATTTCTGTAAAGTCTCATGAAGATTTTGAAAGCCATCTACTAGAACACTCGAGTACAAAACTAAGGTGAACCAAAATATGACTTTGTTCTGTTGGCTGAAGTGATGGACCTGCTCCAATTTTTTTGCAGAAAACAATTTGAATCAGTAGAAGGAATAAACCTTTAAAGTTTCCAAGAGATTGCTTGCATAGTTACTGCGAAAATTAAAAATTAAGAGTTTTCACTTTTCATCCGTTTCCATGGCAATGGTAAGAATTAGGAAAAATTTGAACGTTGACTGCACATGTAGAGTTTCTTATTATAATTTCTGTAAAGTTTCATCAAGATTGTCCAAGCCGCCTCTAAGAACATGTGTGACCATAATACCTTTTTTCTGTTTTGTTTCTGTGGTAACTGTATGCAGAATATTCCATGTGGTAACTTTGGAAAGTCTGTCTAGCTTAGGCCAGCTGACCAAAATCGTGGACATCTAAACTATAAATGTTTCATACAGATGATTCCTGCAGATAACACGCTAAGTAGTACGCCCATCTTCGCTGATAAATAAAGAAGTACTCTAGATAAGTATGTTTTTTTTAAAATAGAAACCACTTTGACACAATGCAAGGAATCATCCTTTAAAGTTTCAAAATTATTGCTTGAGCAATTACTGAGGAAATCGAAGTCAAAGAATTTTCACTTTTCCTCTGTTTCCATGGCAATAATTGACAATAACAATTACTGATCATC